GGTACATAAACATCCGTAAGTGTTACATGTTCACCGTGAGTCGTGATTTTTACCATTGAAAAGCGTCAGCCTTTGCCCAGTGGGCTTGATGTCTCCTTTGTCCTCAGGGCCGTTGCCCCTGCTCTCCTGTGTGCGTCAGCCTGGAGCACCTCCATTCTGCTTGCTTTGTAGCCCTTCCTTTAGGTATGTCTCTTGTGTAGAGCACACGGCGGGCTTGTTTTCTGAGTCCAGTCGAAAAGCGTTTTCCTGTCAGGGGTGAGCTAAGCCCGTCATCTGTATTGATACAGCTGACAAGGTGAGTTCTGACTCGGTCACAGTGCTTTATGATGATGTGTACTTTTTATAGTTGCTCTGTTTTTTGGTGAGATGTGTAGTCTTTGCTCCTTAATTAAGATTTTTGTTTGTGTTTAGGATGGTTTTTAACTGTGCTCTAGTGGTTACTTTTGTATGTAAGTGTTCCTGGGCGTCTTCGGTCCCCGGTTTTCACGTGTGTTTCCTGTTCGGCTTGCGTCAGCCTTCTCCTCGGCTCCCCGGTGGCCACACTGCATCCGGAGCCTGTTGTGTCCCCTTCCCTTTCCCTTTCGTGCTTTGTTACGTCATTTCTACCTTGTCACAGCGCTTGACGTTTCCCAGCCTCCTCCTCACCTCTGCTGTAGCACCAGCTGCATGTTTATATATTATAAATGCTTATTGCTGCGTTTTTCTGAGGTTTCCCCGCTCTTCCCTTGTTGGGACGGCCCCTGCCTGTGGCTGAGCCTTCGCAAAGCTCAGGTGCAGAGTCCCCTGATGTTTTGCAGGTTGAAACGGTTTTTCTGTGGCCTTGATGTGTGGAGGACGGTTATGCTGGATATACAAATGTGGTTCACACTTGCTTTCAGTGATTTTTCGGTGCTGTTGCATTGCTTTCTGTGTTGGTTTGGGAAAGCCTGATGCCAGGTTAATTCTCTCGTCTTGATGGTTTATTTTCTTTTTACCTGGAGGGTTTTCTTTATCTTGGAAAGCTGACCGTTTTAGGAGACTTTGTGGAAGTTGATTTTTATGGGTTAACTTTCCCAGGTGCCCACATGCCCTTTCAGTGTGTCGGTTTGTTTTGTTTTCTGTTTCTTGAAAGTTTCCTTGGATTATAGTTTGAGTGTTAACCTCTGCCGCACGTTTGTCTTCCTTCTCCGGGGGCTCTGACGACTGAGTACATGTCCTCCTTTGGTTGCTTCCTTTTCCCCTGTTTTTTTTCCTGGCCCTTTAATTTCTTTTCTTTGTCTCATTTTTATTCTCTTGTTTTTCTGCCTTTCTTCTTTGCCTCTTACTACATTTTTATTCGAGTCTTTTCTCCCCTGAGCACCTTACGGTTTATATTAATTTCTGAGATACTTTTGTCCTTTTTTCTCATTTCTTTCTTGTGTCAAATCAACTCTCATTTCTTTCTGGTTTTCAGTCCATTTTCCTCCTAAGTTTTGAGGTTTTGATTCAAGGTGATTTTCATATCCTCAGATGTTAAGTATATTTTGTTTTGTTGAAAGCGTTGTCTTACAGTTTTCTTGTTTTTCCAGACTGACTGTCTCTGATACGTGTGGAGTTTCATCTTCTGATTTTTTGCAGTGGTTCTTTGTGGACCTGCGTATCTTCCTCGTGTGCATTTTCATGGTTGGGGTGTTTACAAGATTCGCCCTCTGACGGTGCCCTCTGCTGACAGTTCTGCAGAGCCCGGTGGCTTCGCGGGTGTCTGTCCGAGGGTGAGGAGGGCTGAGTGTCCTCTGGAGGCGAGGCCCTGTGCCTGCCGGCCCCTGCATTCCCCCCGCTTACTTCTTTGCCTGCCGCCGCTGCCCAGTTTCGAAGGACTCATCTCAGAAGCTGTGCGCTCTTAGGCCCCCCAGGCCCGCTCTGGCGGGAGCCCCCCCCCCCCCACCGCTCTGTCTCTGGTGCTCGGCCTCGTGGAGGCACTGTGGGCCCCGCCCAGGAGCATCGTTCCGCGTGGGGTCCGGGCCCCATCCTCGTGTTGTGCGGGTGCCGTGCCCCGGGTAGGTCTGTGTTTCCCTCCCTGTTCTGGACGGTTCTTGGGGAGACGATGGGAGGTGCCGGGGTGAGCTTGTCTTCAGCCTCCTGCGAGTGGCCCTTGTTCTGAGCTGAGCACCCGAGGGGCTCCGTCGCTGCCGCTTTTCGCAGCGCCCTCCAGCTGCCTGTGCTGGGCGTGGGCTCCGTTTCATGGACAAGTGTGGGGACTGCGCCGGCAGAAGCGGAGCAGAGCAAGCTGGCGGGGGCCTGTGCTCTTGGCGCCGTGACCTCATCACTCGCCGTCCGGGACGCAGGGACATCACGCGGGTTAGAGGTGCCCTCTCGTGGGCACAGACCTCTCACTGTTGTCGAGGGGGCTCTGGGGGGAGCGGCAACAAGGCCCCTGTGGTGCGAGTCCCCCCGAGACAGTCCGTGAGGGGCTGGTGCTCTCTGCCGACTGGGCGAGCGGCCATGGCAGGTCTGAAGCTGCGCCGGCTGCCACCGCTGGTTGTGCGCGGCCCTGGGGGCCCCAGCGAAGTGACCCCGCGAGCCAGGTGGGGTTGGGACGGAGGTGATTGTTTCCATTTGGTTTTCACCTTGAGTGTTTGTTGCCTGTTAGGTTGGTTGTGGTGTTTTTGACAGTGGAAAGATTGCCTTCAAAGGAGATACCAGCCTCCTTTCATGAATCCTCTCAGCAGTCCTGTGACAGGACATGATGAATGGTCACACAGCACTTTCAGGGAGGAAGCTGGCCTCCGGGAGAATGTAAACCGTGTGTGCACGGTCGCTTTGTTTCAACCCCAGTGCCTGCAGATACAAAACAAAACACACCGAATCAGCCTCTTTGCTGGAGTGTGAATGTTGTTGAAGGTGGACGCCGGCACCTGCCCCGCAGTTTTCTGTCATCTGAGGTCACTGCTGGTCGCTCAGCTGCCGTGCCTGAGGGCCGCTTCCCCAGGCTTCCCGCATGGGGCTCTGGGCCGGACAGGTCCTTGCGCCTGCAGGCTGGGCGCTGGGTTCCTGTGACCGCCTTCTGGCCAGGACACCCCAAGGGCAGTACGATCAAAGGACGGCACTCACCCCATGAAATCAGAAGTCATTTGAGTTGTCAAGTAGGATGCCTCTGAGCACATAGGCTTCTTATTCAAGTCCGTAGAACAGTGACGCATGGCAGCGTCGTGACCTTTGGAGCCTGAGACGTGCGGAGTGGGGCTGGTGTGGTCCCGGCCCCGGAGCCCTGGCTGTGGGCTGTGCTAACGCTTGCCTGTCCGGATTGTTTGGAAGCACTGCTGACTTCTGAAAAAGATCTCATTAAAATATTACTGGCAGGGATTGCTTGAGTTTCAGCTTTAAATGCTGTGCCTGAAGGGAGCCCTCACCCCTGTCCCAGCTGGGTTTGGCCGTTGAACTGTTTTGAAAGTAAGAACATCACACGTGGCCCAGAGTTGTAGCGAGTGTCACAGAAGACACCTGGCCCGTGGTTGAGGGAGCGCTTCGCTCTCCACGAGCCCCAAGGTCTGGCGCCGCCCTGTCTGTCCCGGGCGGGGAGGAGCTCCCACCCACCTGACGGCCCGCCGGCCCCGCCCCAGCCGTCTGGCCAGGCGCTGGCCTCGGCTTGGCCTGCAGGCTCCCCCGCGGTGCAGAGGCTTCACACCCACAGGGCCCCCGGCGCAGGCCAGCTCTCCGGCCGCGGAGACGGAACCCCGTTTTCCTCCTGGCTCCTCTAAACTGTGTGCTTTCATCACCCCCTTTTCAGGGGCGGTTTGTCTTGTTCACAAAATGCTCCTTTAGGGCCGTTATGGAGACTCAGGGGAAACTGCCAGGAAAACCTAAATAGTTGTTCAAACACGGAAAAGTGTCACCAGAGGACCGGCCTGGAGGAGGGACCCCGGTGGTTTAGGGGTGTCTGAAGGGGGCATAAAGAACACGCGGTTAACGGTGGAAGGTGGAAGAAGGGCGTGCGTGCCCTGAGCTGCCCTGAGTGCCCAGGAGGGACCAGCCTCACCTGCCACCTGCTGGCTGCTTGCTGTGCTGCCGCTTCCTCCAGCATCCTAGGGCTCATCGCTCCCACCTTAAACTTCGAGAGAACGCTGTAAAAATACCACTGTAAGGTTTGCGCTTCAAATATACAAGAGCGGCTTTAACCATCAGAATACAGACATTCCGAGTGGAAAACCGAGGGCTGTCCGATCGGGAGTTGCGTGGTTCATGCCTGCGAGTGTCGGTTGGAGGTGGTGACATGCTGAAACCACGGGACGCTGCTGCTGAGGGGCGGCGACGCGGCAGGAGAGCGCCCGGAAACCCGCCTGTGCCAAGCGGGCAGGCATCAGAGCCCCAGCCGTCGCCCGGATCCCCCGCGGGCCGACCAGGCTGGGCGCCAAGCGGTACAGGCCGGCCGAACCGCCGCTGTCAGCCCGGGGAAGCAGGGAGCCCCCTCCAGGCCATGGACGACGTGGTGACTGTGGAGCCCTCGGCGCAGCCAGCCGACCACCGCCAGCCCGCCCAGCCCAGGAGTCTAGACCTTGCGGCCTTGGGAAGTGTGCCTTTGCCGGCGAAGCGGGGATGTCACGGCCGCCGCGGGCACAGCATCAGCATACCTGAGTCCCTGGACGCCTGGAGGTCGGGGACGCCAGCCACAAGCCCTGGAGCTGTTCTGCCGTCCCCTTGGGGCAGGAGCCGCCACCTTTTCCTTCCTCGTGCCCCAGGGGCCAGAGTCTGAGCTCTGGGGGGAATCTCGGGGTTAGTGTTCTCGAGCGCGTGCCTGAGAGCACCAATCCTGGAGGGTCGGCGTGCCCCCTGCTCTCACCCCTCCCCGTTAGGGACTCGTAAAGCACTTCAGCTCCAGCAGTAGGCCTGGCTTCCTCCAGAGCCAGGGTTTCTTGGGACACCTGTAGGGAAACGTGAGTTGGTCCTGGGGCGGCACCTGGCCCTGCCCCTTCCTTCCAGCGCCGAGGGCCCTGCCCACCTCTGCGCACCACTAACTCGGCTGTCTTCTCCTTTCTCGTCACCAGGGCTCGGGCCCAGGCTCAGCGGTCCCAGGCAGTTCCGGCGTCGGAACCCCCAGACAGTTCACGCGACAAAGGATCACGCGGGTCAACCTCAGGGACCTCATATTTTGTTTAGAAAATGAACGTGAGACAAGCCATTCACTGTTGCTCTACAAAGCATTCCTTAAGTAGCACGGACGCGGCCTCTTAGCCGGCGACGCCTGGGGACTTTTTCTATATTTGCAGATGACGCCTTTTTGTAACAAGCAAATGGGATATTGTTTAAAAGCAGCCACCTCTTTACAATGGAACAGTTTTATATTCCTGTTTCTAAGTCAACTCTTCAGTATGAAGGAAAACACGTTTCTGTAACAGAGAACAAGAGGCCCACGGGTACTCTTAAAGGACAATTAAATCTTAACTCATCTTTGATCGAGTGGCCTTCTTGCCAAACAAGCCATATATAAAAACTGATGGAATCGTTTAGCAAATAAGTAGCTGCCCTCTGTCACCTCCTAGCGGTTTCTGCATCGTTCGTGCATTCGGTTTAGTTCAGCCCAACTTACTGCGGAGGTGTGTCTACAGCCGATGACCTCATTTCATTTATTTTATTTTTGTATTAGTCAGTTGGCAAAGCAAACTGATTTTTTTAGACTATTTATCTCCCTCCCGTCCCCGGCCCTCCATTCAGGACCCTCAGGGAGCAGGCAGCTCACTGCCCGCCTGCGCCTGGGGCTCCTCCCTTTCTGCTTCGTGGGGCCCGGCGACGCGGCTCCTTCTGAATGTGTGGGGTCAGCATCTGTACAAATGCATTTTATGTGCTATCGTTTGTAAAGCTGTAACGTTAAAAGAGATGAGAACCTCTGCAGCATAAATCTATTTTACTTGCACTGTTTTTTAGCTAAAAGTGAAAAAACTTAGACGAAATGAAACCAGAGTTGAGAAGAATCATCGGAAGACTGTTTCTCAGTGTGAATCAAGTGTTGAAAGCTGGTTGGTGTCTTTTGTCAGTAACTGTACATGACCTGCGGCGCACAGCGTGAGGACGGCTGTGCAGCTATGATTAGTTTGCTAAGAGGCTGTGTGCAAGCTGTGGACTCGCTTCACAGACGTCCAGAGCAAAAGCCCCTTCTTTGTACCTATTTTTTTATTACAAATATACTAATTGGTTCTTTATATTTTCAGAGGTTATTGTATTAAATTGTCTATTGATAGTACTTTTATGACTGTAAATACTTCGGCTTTCTCGTGTGAATTCTCACGTTAGACTTTATTCGCGCGTGTGAACTGAATGCTGATCAGTATTTTTTACCAACGCCTGAAAACTGTTACACCTTTTATTTTGTCTTTTAGGAAATCCCTGTCTTTCCATTTTTTCATGTAAATTTTGCACAGTTACTTGTTCATATGTAAATATTTTACTTTCAGAAATGAAGTTTTTAATTGCTATTGTTTTATATAGGATTGAAAGAAAATTAACTCCTTTATTAAAAACAAATTTATCTGTATTTGTTTTGCCTATTTTTCCCAGTTTTCCAGTTGTAGATTCTGCTGCCAGAGATTCAGCTCTGGTTCCGCTGAGGTGTGTATTTATGAGCTACTTGTTAGAATCAGTGTCTAAAACCCAGCGAATCTGGTAGAAATAGCCTCACTTCCAAGGACAGGACCTGCGTGCTCCAGAGTAGGACCCGGTGGGTCACGTCCGAGGGCCCGGAAGCCGAGCTCAGGCCTTGCCCTCAGCCTGGGGCTCCCCACGTCGGACACAGATGGACTTGCGCAGCGTGGACGCCGGGCTCCCGTCCGTGCAGAGGCACAGGGGCACCCCTGGGAGAGGGAAGGTAAGGCGAGGGGTGGGGGAGATCTGGGGTGGGGGGGGGCAGCCCCAGCCCTGATGTGGACCCACCCCCTGGATGGGGAGGGCGGGGTCTCCGGAGGCCCCTCCCCGTGTGGCGGTGAGCATGACAGGTTGGCCTCGATGAACCATAGCTCCCGAGGGGCCCCCCTTTCAGAGGCTTAGCCGCCTGAGTCCCCACCAGCGCTCGGCCTCTCGAGCCACAGACCCTGTCCCTGGCGTGATGGTTTTCGGCATCTGGCTTTCACGTTAATTTTGACGAGTTTGCTGGATCTCCCATGATCCGTGGGCTTACTTACGAGGTACGGTCTCATTCTGGTGCCTGTTGCGTCAGTTGCCTGGGGCTGCTGTGACGGAGCGCCATGGACCGGGTGGCCGAGACCACAGGTTTTGGTCGTCTCCGTTCTGGAGGCTGAAGTCGAGACCCAGGTGTGTGGGCCGTGTTGGTTCTGAGTGCGGTGGTGGAGGACGTGCCCTGGTCCCCTGGCTTCTGGTGGTCGCGGGCATCTTGGATGTTCCTTGGGGCGTAGAAGCGTCGCCCCTTCACCTTTCCGTGGTGTTTTCGCCGTGGGTGCATCTGTCTTTGTGTCCGAGTTTCTCCTTTTCACAGGATACCAGTCGTTTGGATGAGGGCCCGTCCTAGTGACCTCATTTGAACTTGATGACCTCTGTGAAGACTCTGTGTCCAAATAAGGTCATGTTCTGAGGTCCTGGAGTGTTAGGACCGCCACACAACCCCGGCATAGGCTTCTGTTTTTATTTTTTTTTTTTTTTTTTTTAAGGGAGGGGGGGATTGCAGCTCAACCTGTAACTTAGCCTGTGATTTTGGATGATGAAAGAAACTAAATCTGAATTTTCAGAGCCTGAGCAGGGAGTACCAGGGGCATGACTTCCAGTCTTCCCCCTGCATGAAAACGCCCAAGGCGGTTGATTAATTAGGTCATGCTTGGACTTTCTGTCACGACTAATACTTTGTTTTCACTAAGTTCTTGGCCTGAAATAAACTAGGTCAGTCAGTAAAGGGCAGCAGCGCTTGGGTTTCTGCAGGTGCAATAGCTTTAGTTCCGGCTTCTCTGCACGTCTTCCTGGGCCCAGTCGTTCTGCCAGGGGCCTCGCCGAGGCACAGACTGACGCTTGCCGGGGATGATCCCTGGCAGAAGCGTGGCCAGCAGCCTCGAGGCGCCTTTATCCGTTATTTCTCCCTCCTGTGGACGCCGGGTGCTGTTGTTTCAGCACAACACCTTACCAGTTGTCCGAAGTCCGATTCGCGTCCTCTGTGGGCTTGGGGTAGAGTGCTGTGGGGATGGGCCAGGGCCACGACAAGGACGTCTGCTTTCACCACGTCCATTCCCCAGGGAACTGCAGTCCCAGGCGGGCAGAAAGGCGAGAGAGAGAAATGAGGACTGAAGGTGAGGGCAGGACCCTGAGGCAACGCAGTCGAGTGCACAGAAATCCCAAAAGAATCCATGCGCACGGCGCTGCAACGGTTCCGGTGCTTGTGCGTTTTGTAAGATTTCGGGGTGCAAGGTCAGGATCCAGAATCAACCGTAATCCCTTAGCCAGCAGCAAAAAGCTAGAAAAGTAGCATTAACACCACCACCAGGAACATTGGGATACGTGGGAACACATACAGTTAAAGATGTCTAAGATCGTTACCCTGAAATTAGACGAAAGGAGACCTAAAGGGAGAAACTTCGCTGTACCCCCGGAGGGGACCCAGTATTGTGAAGATAGCGGTTCTCTCCCAACTGATTCAATGCTGTCCCGGTTAGAATCCCAGCAATTTTCATAGAAACTGACAATCTGATTCTAGAAACTTACATGAATCTGCAGAGGACTTAGAATAGCCAAGACAATCTAGAACAAAATTGAAGTATTTCCACCCCTAGAGTTCATGACTTCCTGTAGAGCTGCAGTAATTGGGACAGCGTGGTATTGGCGTAAAGACAGACAGGATCCACGAACAAAACAGAGAGTCCAGAAAGGCATCCATACGTTACGGTCACTAGGTTTTCGCTGGTGCGACCGGATGCCCTGTGGGTGGGTGGGGGGAACGTGAGCCCGCACACCACAGGTATCACTTCGAGATGGATCACAGGCCTGGAAACGGGGGCTAAAACTGCAAAGCTTCTGGGGGAAAACGTCGGAGATCGTCATGACGTGGGAGCGGGCAGGGATTTCTAAGGGCATAGAAGGCACAAACCACAGAGAACACATTGGAAAATTGGACTTTAAAGTTACAAACTTTCTCTCATCGAAAGATGCTCTTGTGACAGTGAGAGGGCAAGCCAGAGACTTCCAGAAAATACTTGCGAAGTGTACGCCCGGCAAAGGACCCGTGTCCAGAATATACAAAGAATTCCACAGCTCAGCAGTCAGAAGACAACTTGGTAAAGAACGTGCGAGACCCTTGAACAGGTACTTCATGGAAGGGCTGCCCGTGAGCCAACAGGCAGATGAAAAGGTGCTCGTCGTTACGGGTCATCGGAGAAACACAAAACCAGGTGAGATTCCACCACTCGCCCACGTTGGCTCAGATGATAAAGGTTGACGGTGTTGTGTGTGGGTGGAGCTTCACACAGGCTGTCAGTGTGTAACGTGGCGGAGCCACTCGGGAAACCGTGTCACGCCTGGTAACGTAAACACGCGTGACCCCGCAGTCGCGCCCCTCTGCGTCTACTCAGGGAAGTGGGTGCCTTGTCCTCCGGAGACACCTTGCGAGGATGCTCACCGAGGCTCTGCTCGTTGACGGGGTAAAATGGGGACGGCCCGCGTGTCCATCGGAAGGTGAGCGCGGGGAAAACCAGAGGGTATTTATTCAGTGAGATACTCCCCGGGAGTAAGCGGAACGCGCTGATGATGCGGTCAGTAACGTACCCACGAGTTTCCTGAGAATTACGCTGGGAGAAGCCCGCCGCGGAAGCCCCCGCTCACCCGACCCTGTTCGTTCGCCTGTAGCTCGAGAACGGGCAGAACTCCCAGCTGTGACAGGCGTCCGAGCGCGTTCCCCAGGCTGGAGGGGCCCCGGGCCCTCTGGGCTGATGGAAGTGCCGTCGGGATCCGGGCAGTGGTCACGTGGGTGTGAACACGTGTGAAAGGTTAGGCTGACAGGTTAAGATCTGTGTGTTTTAGCGTGTGTGAAGTGTACCTCAGGAGAGCGTGGGGGAAAGACTCCAGAGCTGAGCGTCGGACCCCATGGGTGGGGCCTCGGCTCCACCTGGGCAGGTGACGTGGTGCCACGCGGGAAGGCACGCGAGTGTCTCGGGATAGGTGTGCTAAGTAGGAGACAGCTTGTGATCTTCTGGGAATGCTGTTATCAAGGCAAATCTTGTGATTATCCACAGTTCACTTGTTTTCCCTTCTGTCACAACTGTGGTCTCCAAGTGTAAACTTTTGTCGAAAAGAGGACTTTCCTGGTGGCGCAGTGGTTAAGAATCCACCTGCCAGTGCAGGGGACGCAGGTTCGAGCCCTGGTCCGGGAAGATCCCACATGCCGCGGAGCAACTAAGCCCGTGAGCCACAACTGCTGAGCCTGCGCTCTGGAGCCCACGAGCCACAACTACTGAGCCTGCGTGCCACAACTACCAAAGCCCGTGCACCTAGAGCCCATGCTCTGCAACAAGAGAAGCCACCGCAATGAGAAGCCCGCGCACCGCAACAAAGAGTAGCCCCCGCTCACCACTACTAGAGGGAGCCTGTGCACAGCAACGAAGACCCAATGTAGCCTAAAGAGAGAGAGAGAGAGAAAAAAGGGAAAGAAAGAAAACATATCTGAGAACACAGAGGTCTTAAAATGACTTATTACAGCTGAACAAATAAAGCATTAAAAAAAAATTAAAAAACAAAAAAACTTCATCTAAAAGAAACAACAGTCCACCCAGTGTCCCTCAGCCCTGCCCGTCCCGCTATCCGAGGCCACAAGGCAGCTGTTCTGGTCTCATGTTCTGTCGATCTGAGCAGCCTTGGGGACCCCTTTGAGTCCTGCGTAGCCTTCATGCCTTGCATACAGCAAGTGCTCAACCAGTGCATGCTCTCACGGTGGAGGTATGCTCTTAGCCCCAGGCCATAAGCAGCCTTTCCGAGCTCCCCTTCCACAGCGACAGGCTGGCAGCCTCTCTGTCCTCCAGATCGTTCTGGCCTCACCTGGGTCACCTGGCCCAGGAAGGACCAGCCCAAGGGGACGTGTCCTGTTTCCTTCGGAGACTCGCAAGGGAAACAAGTCACGTTCCTCCTTACAAATTTAGCTGTCTCTTGAGGCGGTTGTATCAGGCTTTAAGTCCTAACTGCCAGACTCTCTCTGTTTCTGAGGGGAACAGGCCTGCACAGATCCATTGCTTTTCTAAAATGTATTTGTTCAGCAAGTGCCTGTGAGAGGGCTGGGCGCCGTCGCAGAGGGGGTTGGCCTTGGGCTGGAAGAGGTGGCCAGGAGCCCACCGGGTGGCAGGGCGTAGCGGAGGCCGCGGCCTGGGCAGAGGGGTGTTTGTGTGTGTGTGTTGGGAGGACAGGGCTTCTCCTGCTGGTGCAGCTGGGGAGAAAGGCAAGCACACTTTGTGTGCTTGTTTGGAAATTAGAAGCACAGAGAGATGCTAGCAGCACACCATCGGGAAAAGACTGGCCGTGCCAAGTGCCGGGAGGATGAGGGCCCGGGAGCTGCGGGGCTGCAGGATGCATGGCCCTGGGCAGTTGCTTCAGAAGTGAGATGTGTGTTATGACCACGTCCACTCCCACACCCTGCCGACGCACTCCTGGGCTCTCACCCAAGAGGAATGGAAGAGCCGTCTGTGCAAAGGTTGTACACGAGTTTTCATAGCGGCTTCATCTCAAACGGCTAAAAACTGGAGGAACCCTGACTGTCCCTCTACAGGTGAAGGGATATGTTGGCCTGTTCCTACAGGGAGGGGCCGCTGGGTGCCACAATGAGTCTTGGGGTGATGGGGGTGATGATGAGGGAACGCAGCCTGGCCAGAGGGCCCCGTGGGGTTTCCT